CCTTCCTTCCTTCCTTCCTTCCTTCCTTCCTTCCTTCCTTCCTTCCTCTCTCCCTCCCATAGGTGATTTTGTTGATATTAGAATTTTTTTTTGCTTTATTGTCTAATGTTCCATCAGTCATACTGGATACTACTAAGATCAGTGAAAAATTAAGACACGTGGAAAAGCTTTTTGCTCAACCAATAAAGGCAACATTTCTGCAACCTTAGTTCCTGTTGATAGTTTTCCTATATTGATTTACCACACTAGCAAAGGCAATAGCACTTAGAGTTATATATTGCTTCATAATGCTTTCCAGCCCTTTCCAAGCGGTTGATAGCATATCGCCCCCAATAATCTGGTTCCTCATTTACCGACCTCAGAAGGATGGAAGGCTGAGTCAACCTGAGCCGGTCAGAATCTCCTGCCAGTCAGCAGAGTTAGCCTGCAATACTGCAACCTAACCACTGTGCCATCACTAGAATTATGAGCTGTTTGAATTGTAGCAGCTCAGCTCTTTGCTCATGTTAAAGGTTTCCAAGTTTGCTAGTTTGGCCTAATGTGTAAAAGCACCAGGTTAGAATCCAGGAATTATAAATACCAGTTGCCATTCTGGTACAAAAACCCTGAAGGTCAGAATTATCATAGAGAAAAAGTTATCATAGAGAAAAATCAAATAACTTAGTCGCAGAAAAGAGACTTTTCATAACAGATTGTATCAGGTACACTAATGAGAACCAGTGAGTCACATTCATTCTACAGTATTCAGTTTTAGCTATTATCTTTATTCAGGCAGAAGGAAGCTTTGCTGGTGTAGTTTGACAATCAATGAAAATACACGGAGGCAAAATAAAACAAAAAGTAGGCACCCCCATTAAATGCTTCTAAAAGAAAATGCTACTAATCTGTCTACTGCCAAGTTCTGTAGCCCTTCTGATATTGAAATGAAGAGCAAAACTTCAGATGGGTTTGGGGACCAAATAGTGCCTTAACCGATCCCGGTCACTTCTTGTTACAAGTTATTTTCACTGGGATGAAAGCTAGAATATATACCCTTTTGTATCGCCTTGGGAAAATAAAGGCTTATTCAAACCCATATGAATATTTCAAAAATTAAAAACCTGACCAAAGAAGTTGTTTTGGGCATGTGAACTTTAACTTTATATAAAAATAATTAAGTCAATAGAGGCTGGAAGGAAATCTAATTGTCCGAGTGGTGCTTCTATGTCAGAGTTGTCAAACTCAAATTCGTTGAGGGCCTTGTGTTTGACCTCGGGGT